TCATTATTACTCAATAGGATGACAATGGTCCTAAGGGAGGGGACAGAATTATAATTTGTCAGTTTCTCAAGAGGCTTATAACAATGGACCAAAATTAATAAAAATAAGTAAAAGATTCTCCATGTAGATTTAAAATAGTTTTGTTGATCAAGACTAGGTGGAGAAGCTCTGAACTAACCAGAAGTTAATGTGCAAAAAACCTACAATATCTTGTCTGGTGAAAAGACCAGTGTGAGTCAATACATGTGTTACATTACTAGAAGTTTGGTGTCCACATTAAGAGGGGTAATATTAATAGTTTCACCATAACCAGAACCAAACCTCAAGTCTCCTGTTTCCTTCTTGGTATGCAGTTTCATGAAGCATCCAATCTCTTGTTACATGCTCTCATGAGCACTCTGTGTTTTTCCTCGACTATACTTACGTTTTATATGTAATTTGTATATATAGGTGCATACATATGTAGGTGTATGTATAGTCAAGAGCTATTGTTGATCTCCCCTACTAGACTGTAAACTTGAAAAGGGCAAGAATGGAGTCTGGCTTACCACTGTATTACTAGTACCTAGTACAGTCCTTTCGCCATGCAGGTACTCAGTAATTTTTTCCCTGGATGAATGAATAAATGAATGTATATAACATGAGCCATGGTTGAAGAAAAGGAAATGTTTAGCCCTAGGAAGATATGGTGGTTGACTTCAAATAACTGAGTGACTGTCCTGTGGAAGAGAAAGTAGACTAATTCGGTAAGGTTCTAGACAGCAGACTTAAGACCAATAGGTAAAGGCAGAATTGAGCTCTAGGTAAGGAAGAACCTTTGTTAGCTGAACCTGTACGACAAATTCAGTGACGTGGTGAGCCCTCCATCACGATAAAAGAAGGAGTCTGGCTGTGCCATGTGGAGGATCCTAGACTAGATGGTCTACAACTAAAATCTCGTCGAACAACATGACACTGTGCTTTCTGTTACTTAAGATTCTTACCTCCCAGACCTTTTCCCTCCATTTCTGTCCACCCAGAACCTGCACAACCCTGTAAAGAAATGGTGCACTGTGTGTCCAAAGGGCTCAAGGAAGGAACTGGACATACTGGTCTAACCACTCTTTCTTCAGCTACGCTGGGGTGTTGGGAGGAGGTACTCCTAAAGAAAGTGGAAAAGGAGTAGGTATAGAAGCAAAAGCCAGCTCAAGGCAGATAGTGGGCCTGTCAAGGCACAAATCTTTCTAAGAGCTTATGAATAAAATGGATTCAGTCATTTGACTCAACACCTACAGCAGATTTTCTTCTCTTGATCAATGGGGACTCAAAATGTATGTCTGATAACTAAGCAGTCATGCTGTTAGTTAAATTGCAACATTTAAAATCTCACCTTTACATACTATTAACAAAAGAAATGACCAATTATCAGATTCCTATCTATAAAACAAAGCATTTTACAGATGAAACTTTATGAAAATACCATCTCCCTCATCATCCTCCTCCTCCATTGACTAATCAGTTCCATTAAAAAAAAAAAAAAATGAAAAGGACCCATCGACAACAGCAGTTTTAAGCTTTCCAAGTGTGGATTCAGAGAGTGGCTCTTTCGAATCTTTCCCAGGTAGCTGCGTACCATCTGTAAAGTCACTTTCTCATTCAAGACCATCAATCACATGAATTGCTTTTATTAAAAAAAAGCATAACCTCTCCATTTGGGAGGTTGTTTTATGGAAAGGTTGCCAGGTGTCTAAAAAATAAATGCAAAAATCTCAATTCTTTAGACTTTAGAGGAAAACTCTGAAGTGAAATTTAGGTACTTTCCTGGTACCTTCCCTCACTTTTTGTTTGTTTGATTTATTAGCACAAATAGATACTGACAGAGTTTCTTCACTTTTTTTTAGCAAAGACAGGGTGTGGTGGAGCCCCCTAAAACCTGAATAAACTGGTATTCCTTGGGGAAGTGACTCTTACAGAGCCAAAGCACACAGGCCTTAATGTCTTAGAAGAAAGGCAAAGACCCTGAAGCACCCAGAGACTGTGCTAGAAAGGCCTAGAATCCAGCACTAGACTTCCATAGTGGTTGGAATCCCCTTGATAGGTATCTTGTTTCTTCATGTGAGAGATGAGGCAAGTCCTCTCCAGGTAACATTCCATGATCCTAATGATCCTAATCAGCCTCTTGCAAAGGAGCCCTCACAGAGAACCCCCTCTGCTATCCTCATTCTGTGCGGCATTTACCTTCTACAGAGGAGAAAGCAAGGTTGTTTGGTAGTAGTAGCCTTACCTGTTTTTCCTGCTCCACTTTCCCCAGTAATGAGAATACATTGGTCTTTATCTTGATCTCGTAGGGATCTGTATGCTTCATCTGACAGGGCAAAGCTGCAGGAGATAATGGAAAAAAGTCCTTAGAATTCAGCTCATTATCATGTATTTATCAAATGGAACTAGGAGTTCCTTAAAGGGCCATTCTGATAGGCTCTAGGAAGCAAGCTGATGCATCACATTTTACTTCCTTTAAATTCTTAAAATAAATAAATAAACCTATCCTTTGTGACCCATGTTACCTTTTTCCATGCATTTTCTTTTTATTTCCATTTATTTTTTTATTTATATATATTCATGGGGTACAAGTGCAATTTTGCTACACTGATATACTGCATTGCGAAGTCAGGGCCTTCAGTGCATCCACTATAGGAGCAACACATATTGTATCCAACAAGCAACTTCCCATCATTCACATCCCAATCCCCTCATCATCTCTCCAAGTCTCCATTGTCCATCATTGCACACTCTGCTTTCACGTGTACATATTATTTAGCTCCCACTTATATGTGAGAACATGTAGTATTTGTTTTTCTGTGTCTGAGTTGTTTCACTTAAGATAACGTCCTCCAGCTCTATCCATGTTGCTGCAAAAGACATGATTTCATTCTTTTTTATGGCTGAGTAGCATTCCATTGTGCATATATGTCACATTTTGTTTATTCAATCCTCCACTGATGGACACTTAGGTTGATTCCTACCTTTGCTATTGTAAACAGTGCTGTGATAAACATATAGGTGCAAGTACCTTTTTTGTATATTAATTTCTTTTCCCTTGGGTAAATATCCAGTAGGAGAATTGCTAGATTGTATGGTAGTTCTATTTTTAGTTCTTTGAGAAATCTTTATTCTGTTTCCACAGAGGCTGTACTAATTTACATTCCCACCAACAGTGTTTAAAAGCTCCCTTTTCTCCGCATCCTGGCCAACATCTGTTATTGTCTTTTTAGTAATAGCTATTCTTGATACATCATTGTGGTTTTAATTTGCATTTCTCTGATGATTAGTGATGTTGAACGTTTTTTCATATACTTGTTAGTTACTTGTCTTCTTTTGAAAAAATGTCTATTCATGTCCTTAGCTTACTTTTTTATGGGGTTATTTTTCGTTGTTGTTGAGTTGTTTGAATTCCTTACAAATTTTGGATAGAAGTCCCCTGTCGGATGTAGAGCGTACAAATATTTTCTCCCATTCTGCAGATTGTCTGTTCAATCTGTTGATTATTTGGTACAGCAGCTTTGTGGTTGAATTAAGTCCCATTTGTCTATTTTTGTTTTTATTGCTTATGCTTTTGAGGTTAAGTCATGAATTCTTTTCCTAGACCAATGTCCAGCAGAGTTTTGCCCAGGTTTTCTTCTAGTATTTTTTACAATTTCAGGTCTTACATTCAAGTCTTTAATTGATCTTGAGTTGATTTTTGCATATGGTGAGAGATAGGGGTCCCAGTTTCATTCTTCTGTGTATGGCAATCCAATTTTCCCAACACCATTAATTTGGAAAGAGTATCCTTTCCCCAGTGTATGTTCTTGTCTATTTGTCAAAGATCCGTTTGGCTATAAGTATGTGACTTTATTTCTGGGTTCTCTATTCTCTTCTATTGATCTATTTTTATACCACAGTACAATGCTGTTTTAGTTACTACAGCCTTGTAGTATAGTTTGAAATCAGACAATATGATGCCTCCAGCTTTGTTCTTTTTGCTCAAGATTGCTTTTCCATGCATTCTCTATTAACCAAAATGATACTGATACATTGTACTCTAAAAGCATGCTTTATTTAACTCACAAGCTCCATTTATGGCTCTTTTTATTAAAATCTAAGTAATTCAGAAAACGAAGGAGAAAATATTACATCACACATCTACAACTGGATAATGTTGAGATTTTTCAGGACAATACACTGGAGTTACAAAATGGTGAGAAAAAATAAAAACTTTCCAAATGTTATAAAAATGCCATCAAATACCAAATAGTTGATATTATCATCACCAAGCTAAACACAAAACTACTGCCTTTGCAGACAAATGACAGAAACTCCAGGATCCACTAGAGGCAAAATAGCACTATTGGGATTGCCATGATTCTTGTCTAGTCCCAGGCCCCAAGCTTGTCACCTGCCTTAGGACGACAAAGGGCCTCTATCAAGTAAGGCCAGGCCAGTCCTCCTGCCAATGTTCCCCACAAAAGTTTACTAATAAGGTAAATTTTACCCCTTCTAGCTAATTGAAAAATAATTCTGATAATATGATAATGTATTTAAAATAGGTAAAGTCTCTCTTTTAATTCATTTACTAACTGGGGGTGGGGAAGCAGGGGATGTGGAATATACAAACAGAAAATGCAACCCAACAGATTAAGCCCAATGATAAAGACATGCAAAACATTGCAGAACAAGACAGGAATCTCAAAGCGGTGGGGATTGGACCTACAGAATCTTCAAGAGGTGGAAAAACCAGTCCTAAAGAATGAATTAGCAAGATAAATGGCAAAAATAAAGGCCAAACCATCATGGAGGTAGGAGTGAGAGGTTATGAGCAGTTCCACATAGCTGGAAGGCAAAGTATCAGGAAGAGAGGGTGAGAGATGTGCTAGGGAGATAGATGGCAGATTTCAAAGGAAGAACAGAGTTGACGAGGAACCTCACTGCAGGACTGTACACAGGGGAGTGGCAAGGTCAGAGAGTAATTAAAATGAATAACAGTGACATTTACCATGTACCAGAACTGTCCCCAAGCCCTTTATGTTTAATCATTTTAAATTTCACAAGACCAGCACAAGGCAATGACATAATTGCTGAGGTCACACTGCCAATGTGACAAGTTGGAGCCAAAACTAACCCCTGCTACTGATCACAGGATACAGCACCTCTGCATCTTGGCTATATCACAGGGTGACAAGGGTGTATGTGAGAGAGACCAGTCTGGAGGCGGGGAGACTGGTGGAGGACTGGAATACAGGAAGAGTTTAAATCTGGCCGACCAGATCACAGGGAGCTTTTCACACCCATCAAGGACTTTGGCTTTTCTTTAGAAGGCATGTGGAGCCATCAATATTGACAATTTATCGCACTCCTTCAATGGGCCAGGAGCTGAGTGAAGTTCAGTGAAAATGTATCCGTATTTGTATTCATAACTGGATTTAATCCTCCATACAGCTCTGCAAAGTAAATGTTAGCTTCCTTCAAGAAACATGGTCTTGAGAAGTGACATGAGAAGCCCACAATCCTATTCTGAGCAGAGTTATAACTTGAACCCAGAAACACTGTGAATCACGCCCTGCCCCAAATTGTCATGTTCTCTTACAACTATTTGTTACCATATCTTATCTTTTGGCTGGACCATTGTGAAGCCTCAAGAAGAGCCATCCAGTCTTATTTTGTGACCATCACATCAGTGAGTCTGTCACCTTGCATGTGATAAGTACCATATATTCTAAGTGCATTTGTTGAATAAATGTATAAATAAAAGACAGGGCCGGGCGCGGTGGCTCACGCCTGTAATCCTAGCTCTCTGGGAGGCCAAGGTGGGCGGATTGTTTGAGCTCAGGAGTTCGAAACCAGCCTGAGCAAGAGTGAGACCCCGTCTCTACTAAAATTAGAAAGAAATTAATTGGACAACTAAAAATATATAGAAAAAATTAGCCGGGCATGGTGACGCATGCCTGTAGTCCCAGCTACTCGGGAGGTTGAGGCAGGAGGATCGCTTGAGCCCAGGAGTTTGAGGTTGCTGTGAGCTAGGATGACACCATGGCACTCTAGCCCGGGTGGGCAAAAGAGGGAGCCTTTTTTTAAAAAAAAAAAAAAAAAAAAGACAGAAGAAAAATAATGAAAATATCTGGCACCAAGGTCTTTTTCAAGTAACAGGTCGCTCTAGCCTATTCTTTGGGACAGTGTACCCTGATCCCTTTCTGTACCTCAAAGCCCTTTCAACCACTCTTTCTCCATACAACCAAAGCCTTGCTCAAGCTCCACAGATGCCTGTAGTCTCAGCCTTCTCTAGGGTTCTGTGTACCACTGCATCACAGTGGATATAGGATGGAAAGCATTCTAGATGTGATTCCCTGTGCCCCAAATCTATAACTCACCACCTATGTAACCTTGAGCAAATCATTCATTCTCCCTGGCTGAACTTCAGTTTCTTCATTTACAAAAATGAAACTGTACAAAAGCGCTGTGAAAGTTATAAATCCCTGAATAAATATCAGAAAATCTTTCTGTATTATAATTAGTTATGCACACATCTTCTTATCCCCTACCAGAGTATAAGCTTCTCTAAGGCAGAGCCTTTCTATCTAATTAATCTTTGTGCCATCCACAGATCTATGAACATAAAATGTAACCAATACCAAGTTAGGAATGAATGAATGGATGAATGGATGGATGGATGGATGGATGGGTGGATTCTCTAAGCAGTGGCAAAGTCACTATTGGAGTGAGTTAGGAAATTCATTTCTTCTATGACCTTCATGCAGGGAAGGAAAGTATTGCTTAGATTTTTTTTTAGCCTTCCTCCCTTCATGCTTCTCCAGCCTCCAGACAATAGCTGTGAGATGCTGCTTTCATTATCATTATTGGCAAGAATTGCAGGAAAACACATTACAACAAATGCAAAGGAAGTTTTCCAATCATACGTATTCACTGAACTTTTCGTCAATTGTTCAGTACAGGCCTTTGTCCCACGCTCCCAGGACTGCAATTCAGCATTATATTTATACTATCGCTAGATCCAAAATAGTGCAAACTTACTTCACACGCAAATAACCACATGACACATATACATACACACACAAGAGGCTTTGGAAGATCACCAAATGACATTGCCATGGGTGTATTTCAAGTCAAAACACCTAAGTTGAACACTTATTTTTTTCTTCTCTGTCCAGACTGAAACACTTAACTGCTATCCCCAAAGACAGGGCCAGATTCATAAAACGGGGAGTATAATCTTAATAAAAGATAAAGGCTAAATGGGGGGATTTATTCTTTCAGGACTCTAGGGAACCACTAATTTCAAACTGACATGAAAATTTACCAATTAAAGGACTTAAGCACTGGGATAT